CATTGCTTCTGCTCCCTGCTGTGTGCTCCGTGCGGTTCCTTACGGCCGTCACGTGGCGTGCGTCTCAGACACACTCACATGCACGCCACGCGTACCGATGCTTCCGCGCACGCATGTTTGTCTGGGTGAGTGTACACGCACTGGAGCCATTCGGGGTCCGGCCTCTTTTGTTTTTCATTTTTCTTTTTTTTTGTCGTTTCATGGGGAGTTTCTTTTGTCTGCTGCTGAGCTTGTGTGTGTGTGTGTGCGTTGCTGCCGCTGGGCCGCTGCGATTTGTCCCTCTGCGGTGCCTGCGCGCAGAGTGTGGCATCCGTGCCTCTCTTCTTCTTCCTCTCCCACTGCCCCAGAGGTAAGCTCCGCACCGCTAAGCGACTCCACGATTGACGGCGACGATGAAGTGCCGTGCGCTGTGCGCCCTGCTGGCCCTTGCGCTGTGCTGCTCCGTTCATTGCTTCGTCGCAGACGCATCTGCCGCAAAGCCTCCGCTTGCTCCTGCCCCTGCTCCTGTTGCGAATTCCACCGCTGGGGCGTTGCCGAGGAATATGAAGCAGGTGTTGGAGGAGGCCTTGAAGGCGGTGCTGAAGTCGCAGGAAGACGCCCATGAGGCCAGCACCCACTGCGTGGAAGCGAAGCTGAGCGCCGCAAACGCACTGAAGGACGAGCAGGAGGCTGAGGAGATTTTGAGGGGGCTCGACGCGGAGCTCGTCCCGCTGAGCAAGTCTCTGCCGAAGGCGCGGCAAGCCAGAAAAGAGGCGGCTGCCGCTGCCGCCGAGTGCGAGCGGGCGAGTTCGGCTGCGTTGACGGCGGAGGGTGTGGCACTGGCGGCGGTGCAGGAAGTGCTGAACCACACCCTTGCCGCAAGATCGGACCGGATGAAGCACGACGCTGAGTCGTTGGAGAAGGTGAGCGCGCTGACCAAGCGAGCCATTGCCGAGGCGCACAAAGTGGAGAAGCACGCTGAGAAGGCGGCGGTGGCGGCGACTGGCGCGCTAAAAGCTGCACAAAAAGCCGAAGAGGCGCTTTCTGCGGTCAAGGAAGTGGCTTCCATTGCAAGTCTACTGCTGCAGAAGTTCGCAAAAGAGGAGGAACGGCGTTTTGCCAGCGAGCGGGCGAGAGCCGACGCCACAACTAAACGAGCCGAGAGCGCGGAGTTGGCTGCAAAGGTGGCGGAAGAGAAGCTGGCAAACGCAGGCGTCAGCACGGGAGCTGTGTACGTTGGCGGCGGAGCCCAGCCGGGCTCGCGCAGCCCAAGGGCAAACACGGTCATAAGAAGGGACGGCGACGTCATTGCTGCTTGCGTGCGTGCACCACTTCTCCTTCTGGTTGCACTGGGCTGCGTTGTCTTATCTTGGGGTCTCATCTAGGCCATTACAGGTGGCCTTTTCTACGAATAAGCAATAATTGATCTTCTTCCACTTCTATGGGCTTTCTTTTTATTCGCTTGGTAAAAAAAAGAAAACTTCTTTTTTTTTTTTGTTTGGACCTTGTGCCGGTCCTTTTCCAAGACCGGTGGTAAGAAACTGTGCATTTAATTACCCGCGATGGTCTTTTTTTTTTGATTTTCTGTGTGTGTTTTGTTTTTCGTTTTGTTTTCTTCTTGGGACCTCGCCCTGACGAAGTCCTGTAATGTGCTTGATTGGTTTCAATCCACACGCTTCTGCGGAGGCCGTGTCGCATGCTGCGCAGGCTGCGGTGTGCGGTGTTTTTTGTTTTGCTTTTCTTTTTCATCTTCTGTCCAGCTGTTGCGCGTTCCTGCAGCTCACCATCTCTCTCCACTGCTGTTCGTTTTTTCTGCATATACGAGAGCGAGGCCCAAGTAAGATGCTGACGCTGTGCAACGCGCTGTCGTTCCTGATGCTCCTCCTGCTTTGCGGCGGCGTGGGCGTGTGCGAGGGGACGGTGACAACGAAGCCGGCCGTGCCGCCGAAGGTGGTGGGAAGTGTCGTAGACAGGACAAAGGTGCTCACGAGCGTGGATCTCCCGGCGGACGTGAAGGAAACGAGGAACAGGGCCCTGCGGGCAACACAGCATGCCTTTGACAACGCTACGGAGGCGGCCAAACAGTGCTTAAAGGCGAAGCTGGACGCTGATGAGGCCAAAAGCCACGCCGACGAGGCAAAAAAGCTCTTGGAAAAGCTTGGTGGGGACTTTGTGTCCAAAAGTACTGCTCTGCAGGCTGCGAAGAAAGCTCATGATGAGGCTGTTGCTGCGCTGAGGAAGTGCGTTGAGGCGGAGAGGGCCGCTGCCGACGCCGACACTGCGGTTGTGGCGGCTCTTTACGAGGTGCTGAATCACTCCAAGGTGCAGCGGCCGACCAGCCTGAGTCCGAAGGAGGCTTGGGAAAGGGTCCACAGGCATTCGCTGCAGGCAGTCAAGGAGGCGCAGAAGGCCGAGGTGCACGCGGAGAAGGCGGCAGAAGCGGCACAAAAGGCATCGGAGGCGGCAAAAAAGGCGGCAACAGCACTGATTACGGCGAAGGAGGTCGTCGCGATGGCCGACGAGTTGAAGAAGAAGTTGGCCAAGGAGGAGGAGGAGCGAAGAAAACAGCATGAGGAATTCCTTGCGTCCGAGAAGCGAAAGATACAGGAGGAGGCCGCAAAGGCGGTCAAGCGTGCTGAGGCGGCTGAGGAAATTGTTGCCGAGCTGTCGTCCACACAGAAGCGCAACCCAAAAACGGGTGCGAGAGGCACTCGAATTGGGGTCGATGGTGCCCAGAATCCCCGGCACGCTGGGCAGGACCGCGGCAGTTATGCCTCGGCACTTGCACCGTCACTACTACTGCTGTTGGCGGTGGCGCCCGCCCTGGCCTCGCTTGTGCTTTTGTGCTAAATTGGAGCTTGGGGCCCGGGGCATGGCCTCCTCTCTTACATCACCGGAGAAGTGAAGGAAAAAAAGAAGTCAGGAGGAGAAAAAAGCATAAAGGAAAAAAAAGTATTCTGCTGATTGGGCTCCATTGCGTGG